GTCAGGGCCCAGTCACACCATATCCAGTGAGTCCCGGTGCAGTTTGCACCCAGAATGCACTGGATTGCATACATGAAGCCAGGCACCTGTGTTGTAGCAGTGAGGAATTGAACCTGGGTCTCTGAGGTGATGGTGCTGTAGCATTGCCTTTGGGCCACCAGGCTGACTCAGCTCTCCCGACAGATAATTACACAGCAGTTTTGCTCTGGGCTCTCTAGCTCCACCTGGTTACCAGCTGCAGTCAATCTACACTCAGCCCAGCCTTCAAATACAGAGCAATTCCTGTGCTCTTAGGCTGGGTTCACACCTGGGCGTATTTTTTTAGCGCGGTTTTCAGTTCTGTGAAACGCGTGTTTCACTGGCGGTATGATTTTTTCCCCCCTTATTTTCTCTATTTAAAAAAAAAAAAATAACTTTCAAACTTCCCGCCGGCTCCGCCCCCCTGCGACGCGGCCTCTCGCAAGAGACGGAACCCGGAAGCCGCAGCCGCGGGAGGACACAGCAGGGATCGCGGACAAGGTAAGACCTGTACGCTGTATTCCCAAGTGTAGCTTGGGGTAATACAAATGGATACACGCGACAAATACGCCCCAAAGAAGCTCCTGTACTTCTTTGGTGTAGGGCGTTTTTCAGCGCGTTCCTATGCGCTGTAAAACGCCCAGGTGGGAAGCATGGCCATAGGCAATTATTGGTTTTCGTAGGAACGCGCTGTAAAACGCCCTGGTGTGAACGCTTGTATTTAGCGACGATCGGTGCGGCCCCCCCTCCCTCTGCTGTCCCCCCCACCATTGTCCCGCTGATCCCGGGCTCCGACCCCCCCTGAAAATTTTAAGTAACACATAAAAAAGAATTAAATTTTTTTTTAAAGTCCCCACCCATACATACACGCATTCATACATGTGTCGCGGGCGCATACGTGCAAAAAAGACGATTGCGCCCATTACGCCGCACATGTTACATATCGCCGTGAACGTCGCAGCGAGAGCAATAAGTCTAGAGCCATCAATCACTGATAACACTAAACTGATGAGCGGTAAAAACGTTTAAAGCGTCGCCTATGGCTAATTTTGGTTGCGGTCGTTTTCTGCGATGTCGCGGGTGCGCGCAATTTTAAAGCTTGACATGTTTGGTGTCTATTTAACCGACGTGACCCGATCTTTTATATTTGACCAAAAAACTGGGTAATAATAAATGTTTCCTAACATAATGTTAAAAAAAACGTGTTTTTTTTTCAAAATTTTCAGTAATTTTTCCTAATTATAATAAAAAATAAAACCCCCAGTGGTGATTAAATACCACCAAAATAAAGCTCTATCTGTCCCCAAAAAATGGTGTAAAATTCATTTCAGTACAGCGTTGCATGACGGAATAAACGTCAGTCAAAGTACCACAGCGCTGAATACTGAAAAATGGCCTGGCCAGGAAGGGGGTCTAAACACCTGGTCTTGAAGTGGTTAATGACCTTACAACCATCGCAAGACAAAAGTCTTGTGATGGTTGTAAGGTCTATGGGCACCTTTACTGTGTGGATGGAGTAATCTCCACCTGGGCCAACCTGTTGCACTTTTTCCATCTGACCACAGAAAGTCTGCAGATAATTGTAAGGTGTATGGGCACCTTTAGAAGGAAGGTCAGTGTCTGCACTAATTCAGAGATGATTTGAGGATCTACAGCTAGTTCAGGTACTTGAATGCATTTTAAAGATTTAACTCGTGACTTTAGTGTCTCTGTAAAGTGTACATTACCCAAAACTAAAAGAAAGGTTTTGGCTATGAGTATGAAAGGATGTAAAACCCTGGCAATTTGTTTTTTGCTTGAATACAGTCCAATGAGAGCAACAAACAAACGTTCAATGATCCAAGCGTTCTGATGATAAAATTGGTTCACAGCAGAAACAACCAATGCAATTTGGGGGCCTCAAAAACTCTGCCTTTATCGGGGCTCTGGAATTTTGACTGTGCTTAAATTGACTCAGATAAGCAGATTCCTGATGTGCTTGGAATGGTTTTACAAAGAGGCAGGTTATGACAAGGTTAACAAGTGTGGCAAACAGCAATTTTTTGATATTTGTTTGATGCTCTCCTTAAGTGGGGGGTATACACAGTTAGAATTCCGAACTAACAAAGTCAAATTCGTAACGTTTGTTCGACTTTCAAATCGGTTAATGGGGTCAAATTAACGATCCATTTCCACCATAGTGACGAAAAAAATTTGCAGAAGCCTGTTGGAAATTTTTTATTGATCGAACAAATTTCTTACAGTGAATGTGGTTTTTGTTCGGAAACTCCATTCATTCCAAAATCGAATGTTAAATAAAAAACGAAAAACTAAAAAATGAACGAAATTTCCAATGACAATCGGCAAGTCTCTGATGCCAGTATCGAACGTTCCCACTGAATTTTTCGTACGAAGGTTCGCACAAAAATCTAACAATGTATGCCCTACATGTAGATTCTCAACTCTGAGTTCTCTCCCCCTTTTTAGGGGTCTCCTTATTTTGTGGTGTGCTGCCAAACTGGAGCTAGTGTGTCCAAATAGTGTGTATGGCAAATTACAAAAATGAAGATGGAAGCAACAAAGGATTTATAGAATTTTTGCAATAGAATAGGCTCTTACATTGGTAAGAAGGAAGTGACACTATACTCCGTAGTTAAATCTTAAAAATTCATTCAAGTACCTTAACCGCTTGAAGACCAGGTGTTTAGACCCCCTTCCTGGCCAGGCCATTTTTCAGTGTTCAGCGCTGCAGTATTTTGACTGACATTTATTCCGTCATGCAACGCTGTACTGAAATACATTTTATACCATTTTTTGGGGACAGATAGAGCTTTGTTATGGTGGTATTTAATCACCACTGGGGGTTTTATTTTTTTCTATATTCAGGAGAAATTACTGAAAATTTTTAATTTTTTTTTTTACATTATGTTATAAAACAACTAATATTACCCACTTTTTTGGTAAAATATAAAAGATGGGGTCATGTCGGGTAAATAGACACCAAACATGTCAAGCTTAAAAATTGCGCGCACTCGCGAAATCGCAAAAAACTAGCATACCCAAAACTTTAAAAGCTTTTACAGCTCATCAGTTTAGTGATATCAGTGATTGATGGCCCTGGAGAGCGCTGGAGAACTATTGCTCTCATTCCTATGTCACAGGCCGGCTCGAACTATGAGGCTGAGTGAAAATCACTCACCTCATAGTTCTCCTTTAACTATTAACAGAAATGTATCTTTTTATATATCACTCAGCTATAGATCCTCAAATCATCTCTGAATTGGTGCTGACACTGTCCTTCCTTCTGGAGGGTGGCTACTTTTGTTCCCCATGGTGCCTTTTGTGTGTTGTAAACTAGCCACTGCTCCAAGCTCGCACCTTTGATGGACTACAATCTCACTTTTAGTTAGCAAATTTGTATTGAAGTTATAGTTCATCATAGGAGTGAGCTTGGAGTGGTGGCTACTTTACAACACACAGGGACCATGGGGAACAAAAGTAGCCACCCTCCAGAGGGAAGGACAGTGTCGGCATCAATTCAGAGATGATTTAGATCTACAGCTGAGTGATACACAAATAAGATTAACAGTTAAGGTACTTGAATACATTTTTAAGCTTTAACTACTGAGTTTAGTGTCAATTTAACACCGTAACTGAGTGTTGTCCAATTTTTTTGTATGGAACAGAAAAACAACCTCCCGACTTTATGAATCCATTTAATTCAATTAAAACAATAATATAGCGTTAGGTAAAGCCAACATGCAATTCTATTGCTGGTCAATTAACCTATAATAGATATAGTGATAGGGTTAATCCAACATGTCAAATAGCATTGATTTAATCCAAAAACAGATATTTAGCAAATCACACTGTGTTGTCAATGTCAAATTTACATTGTTCAACAACTCTGTGATCTTTCAGTAAATGCTCAGAGCTCTCCAAATATCAAAATGTGGCTCATGTATATAACTTTTACTTGAATCATCAAAGCTAAAACATCCTGTTCATGTAGATGCACAATATGAGCAACCATGCATTTGAGTATAACATTAAATACATACACTGTTTAATAATTTTGTGTCAGGGTTGCACCCTGACTTTACTGGTTTGCAGCATTCTGGCTTGGCTGCTATTTTACTCACCTGTTTTTCATCCTTGCTCGAGCAGACTCTGGAACGTTGCTCACTACTCCAAGGCTCCCTCTTATGGCCAGATAGGAGAGCATCATCTGAGTGAGTCAGATGGAAGTTTCCAGTCTGTAAGTGATGATGTCACCCCACTCACCATATATATATATATATATATCAGTCCAGTCTGACCTTGCCCTTGCGTGGTCTTCCTACCAGTGCTTTCCTGCTGCTCTGAGTATCCTGATTCTGTGTATGACCCGATCCTGGCTGACGTTCACCTCCGGCTCCTGGCTTGTTCCTGACCACGCTGATTTCCTGGCTCCTGGCTTGTTCCTGACAACGCTGATCTCCGTGTTCCTGACCTGGCTTGGACGACTACCCACTCCGGCTCCTGACTCTGGCTTGTTCCGGTATAAGATTCTGCTTGCTCCTGTGGACACTGTTCTTAATAAATATTTTAACTAGCACCTTATGCTTGTCTGGTTTTCAATGTGCTCTGACATTATGCAAGGGCCATGAATCGAGACGGTGCTAGTGTAAACCCTAGTCCCTCTCCGTTGTAGACTATTTTTTCGAGGCTGGATTCACAGGATCAAAGAATGGAGCGGTTCGCTCAGGTCCTGCAGACCCTGCTCTCGCTCATTTGGACCCAGCTAATGCCTCGCCTCCAGGCCCTGCCGCTACCCCTGCTGGTCCTTCCGTTGCTCCTGAGCCTACACCTGGAAGGGCCATGTCGGGTCAAGCTCCCTTACCCCAACGCTATGGGGGTGACCCCAATCATTGCCACGGATTCCTGAACCAGGTGGGAATCTATTTTGAGTTGGTTCCGCAGGCACTTCCTGGCGACAGGTCGGGTTCTTGATATCCTTATTGATGGATAAAGCATTAGCCTTGGCTTATCCACCTTGGGAGAACGATAAGCCCATTATTTTCAACTACCCTGAATTTGTGGCCTTCTTCAGACGGGTATTTGATGTACCAGCTCGATCCCTCTCTGCCGCTAAACTGCTTATGTGCATCCGGCAAGGTATGCGAACTGTAGCCGAGTATACCATAGAGTTCCGTACCCTAGCAGCAGATGTAGGCTGGAATAATGAGGCACTGGTGGCAGCATTCTTCCATGGGATGAAGTGGCTGCTAAGGAATTGCCTAGAGATCTGGAGGAGCTGTTGTAATTCCTGATTCTCATTGACACCAGGCTCCGTGAGAGGCCTTCATTTAAAGAGCACCTGCGTAGGCCTCCTAACAAGTTGGCTCCCTCGTTTTCCTCCCCTCCCTCAACGTCGGGTGAGTTGTCTACTGGAGGTATTGAACCCATGCAACTGGGAGTTACACGTTTGTCCGAGGCTGAAAGTGCCTATAGGAGACGAGAGGGGCTATGTCTCTACTGTGGCCTCACAGGTCATCTTTTGAGGTCATGTACCACACGGCCGGGAAACGCTCGCACCTAAGACTCCATAGGACGGATCTTAGGTGGGGTTTCTTTGTCCCTAGGGCTTCTTAAGGAGAAGCCTCTGGTCACTGTGGTACTAATGGGCAGACTCCTCGGTGGTTCTTCGGCTCTGATTGACTCCGGTGCTGCGGGTATGCTTATTGACGCTTTTTTTGTCTCTCAGAGTCTGATACCCACACAACCTCGTACCACTCTGTTGGCTATTGAGGCCATTGATGGCAGACCATTGCAGCCTGCCCTCATCACTCTCGAGACCGCTCCTCTTACCATGGTGGTAGGGACTTTACATTATGAGACGTGCACCTCTGCCCGGGGTACACTTCTCCACATCTTTTGGTTGTGTGCCCTTCAAACTTATTGGAGACAGGTTCACGATCTTATCTGTCAAATAACTGGTGAACAGCTGGCCTTTCAACCGGGTGCCTATCTACTACATATCCATGATGACGATAGTGGGGGACCTCAAAATTCTCTCAGCAAGCATCTGATTAATGCAGCTAGATCATTGATACCCAGACTTTGAAGAGACGTTAAAACCCCATCACTCACCGAATGGATTAATCAGGTAAATTCCAGGCAAATCTTTGAAATTGAACTCTTTTTTTACCAAACAAGACAAACTTACCAATTTTTTCTAGAATGTGGGCACCATGGACCCACTTTTGTCATGGGAAGGTCTATGCAGAACTCAAACATGACCCTGCATAGATGACTAGAATACCCACCAGTCACCTACTGATCCTTTGTGACCCCTTTAAAGGATGAAGGAAAGTACCCTCACTGGAGTATGTCCCAGAGGATACACTTGGTGCCCTCCCCCCTGTATCACCCCACCCTCTGATCTACCCTGGAGTCCCCGGTGGTATTACCACGTGGGACTCATTGCTTTCTAATGCTCGTCTTCACTGCCTCTATCTTTATGTGATTCACGTTTTTTTTTGTGTTGTCTTACTATTTGTCTTTGTTTACTTGATGGTACTACCACATACCAAGCTCTTAGCCTATTGAGTTCTGGTTACCGAGCTAAAGGACCGTTCATCCTGCATAACCATTTCATTGTAAAATGAATGTTAACCTCTCAGTCTTGATGTTTTGATGTATTATGCGGGACTTTCCAACATCATGGTCCTTATTGTACCCTCTATGATTGACGGTTATGCGGCACTCCGCTTGGATGATGTGATATGTATGATCCCATTGTATGTCATTTTACTTTTTCTTATATTCAATAAAAATGTAAAAGGGAAAAAAAAATGATTGGTACATTATGAGACTATCCAGTTCCAGGTTACATAGTTACATAGTATTTGAGGTTAAATAAAGACATAAGTCCATCAAGTCCAACTTATTGTTTGTATGCATTTATGTTTGAGCAGGTGTGTGCGTGTGTATTAGTCCATGTGGTATTTTGTTCTTAGGCGTACCTGTACCCCTGTATGTTATGGTCTCCAAGGAACTCGTCCAGGAGTTTCTTGAATGATTCCACACTCTTAGCTGAGATCACTTCCTGCGGCAGCGAGTTCCAGACCTTAACCGCTCTGACTGTGAAGAACCCCTTGCGCCCTGTGTGTTGAAATTTTTTTTCCACCAATTTTTGGTTGTGCCCTCTTGTCTTTGTTACGGAGCTAACCATAAACAGTTTGTTAATAATGTTGCTGTCACCCTTAAATAGTTTATACAATAAGATCATGTCCCCCCATTAGTCTCCTAACCTCCAAAGAGAACATATTTAATTTTAACAACCTTGTTTCATAGTTCAGGTGCTCGAACCCCTTAACAAGTTTGGTTGCCCTCCTCTGGACTTTTTCCAGCTCAAGGACATCCTTTCTGAGTATTGGTGACCAAAACTGGACCGCATACTCCAGATGTGGCCGAACCAGTGATCTATAAAGTGGCAAAATTGCAATACATTCCCTTCTTAATGCAAGACAGGACTCTGCTTGCTTTGTTTACAGCAGTCTGGCACTGCAAGCTATTCTTCAGTCTGCGGTCTATAATGACCCCCAAATCCTTCTCCGTTTCCGACTTCCCAAGAGGCACACCCATAAGTGTATAGTCCATTTGCCTATTTTTAACTCCAAAGTGCATTACCTTACATTTATCGACATTGAACTTCATCTGCCATACAGTTGCCCACTCCCCGATTTTCTCCAGGTCCTCCTGTAATGTTACAATGTCTGAATCCGTGTCTATTACCCTCCCGATTTTCGTATCATCAGCAAACACTGAGACATGGCTACTCACTCCCTCCCCGATATCATTAATAAATAGGTTAAAAAGCATGGGACCCAGCACAGAACCCTGGGGCACGCCACTCATGACCTCCACCCATTCTAAAAAGGTGCCATTAACTGATACTCTTTGTGCACGTTCAGGTGATCTCCTCCCTGCACTTTCCGGTGGTTCTGGGTTATCGGTGGCTCCAGACCCATAATCCCAGGCTTGATTTGGGGAAGGTCTGAGATTTTGTCCTGGTCTGATCAATCTTCTGCCAAATGTTTGCGAAGACCCACGGGGCTCCTATGTACTGCATCTGTCTCCGAATTGCCTGAAGAGTACAGGGAGTTCTCGGATCTGTTTGATAAGGTTCCGGCCGGTGCTCTTCCTCCTCACAGACCGTACAACTGTGCCATTGATCTTTTCCCTGGGTCTGTCCCGCCTCGTGGTAGAGTGTATCCTCTCTCAGTTGCGGAGAACAAGGCGATGGAGGAGTATGTCTCAGGCGCCCTAGCTAGAGGGTTTATCTGCAAATCCATGTCCCCTGCTGGGGCTGGATTCTTTTTTTTGTCAAAAAGAAGGGAGGGGAGCTTCGACCATGCATCGACTATGCATCGATTATAGAGGGCTCAATCGTATTACCGTTCAGAATGCGTATCCGATTCCCCTCATCACTGAACTCTTTGACCGACAAGGGTTCTAAGATTTTCACGAAACTGAACCTAAGGGGAGCCTATAATTTAATAGCATCACAGGGTTTTCATTCAACAGAAACCAACATAAGATACACCTTTTTGCGGATGATATCTTTATGTTAACCAACCCCGCTTCGTCTCTGGAAGCAGTTCAAAGAGCCATACAAAGGTTTAGTCATGTTTTTATATTATAAACTCAATGCATCTAAATCCCATATACTAAACTTGGGAATCCCTCCCACGCTCCAGACTGCTCTCTCCATCTTTCCCTTATAAGTGGACCACAGGTAAGCTGTCTTATTTGGGCATACAGCTGACATCCCGTACCACTGATTTTGTTTAGGGCAAACTACTCCCCACTGCTGACAGCGCTCCCAGGAGATCTGCTCAAACTATCCAAATGAGAACTAACATGGTCAGGACGTTTTGCAGCTTTCAAAATGTTAATCCTCCCTCGTATATTGTACTTATTCCGCACAGTCCAGATCAACCTCAATGACCAGTTTTTCAAATCATTATGCTCTATATTGACCAGATATACAGTATCTGGCAAGGTAAAAGAGCTTGATGCTCTTATGCACATTTAATAAAACCCAGGACGGTGGGAGGTATGGGTTTGATGGATTTGAGAGAGTATTACCTGGCTTGTGTTCTAGATCAGTTGAGACATTGGGTTGGTCCCCCCTCTGACATTCAGTGGTGCGGGATAGAGCAGTTCTTGGTGCCTAAAACGCAACTTGTTTCACTATTTGCTTGGGAGCATATGGCCTTGATTTCCCAGGTCTCCAGTTTCACCCACAGTCGATGTATCTATTTAAGCATGGCAACAACTATATACACAGATGCAAACGCAGGATACTGTGGTAAACATGGCTATGCCGCTTGCAACGTGTGAATTGTTTATTCTTGACTTATCCCTTCGGTACGAACCTCCTATCGCATGGCCAAGATCTCCTCTACTAACCCTAACTTATGTTGCTGAGCCCGACCTCCTGACCAGGCCCCCCTCTGCTCCGGGCCCCATAGCGACCGCGTGGGTCGCTATGGCAGTAGTTGCACCACTGGCTTGTACGTACATTTCTTATATACTAATTTCTCTAAGTGAATGATGAGCAGCTTCTATACAATTTATACATCCTTGTTAACACAGGCTATGGATAAGATTTACCAAGGATGGCACAGAGACTCTTTGTGCAATTGCTATTGTAAACTATAAGTACATGAGAGAACAATGCATCAATTGAATGTACAATTTTGCAGTTATTTATTTTAAAAAAAAAAACAACAAACATAAGAACAGTGCTGGAAAAAGTCTTGCTTGTAGATCACTTTCAGACTAAATACAAACTGCAGTACCAATCGCAACTAATCAGAATCCATCTTGCAATGCTTCGGTTTCAGCAAAGTGAATTCTAATTGTTTCCATGGATTTATTAAATAAGACCATTGGTATGTTATTACTGATCAAAAACTGGCAAGTTTCTTTATTACGTCAGTCTGTAATTATATTAATACCTTTGTTAATACAGATAGGATGTAAGAGAACAATGGATTGTTAAAGTGGAAGTATTTTACATTTATTGGCCACAAAGTATTTCATAACATTTTTCAATTTTCTATGGACTTTTGGTGGTGTGTGTGGTTTTTTTAATAGAAAATCTCTTCCAAATGTGCCATGTGACTAACGCACATTACTAACTTGAGCTTTTAGAATGATCCCTCTTCCTAAACTGAAATGATATGTACTATTTCTGAAATGGAAATCGATCCAGAAGAACGTGATTTAATGACGTGACATTCCGATGCATTTACTTTCACTTCAACAATGTGCAACTCAGTATTTAGGACATGCTTCAAAGTTATTAAAACATATCCAAATTGTTAGGCTAGTTTATTATAATATCTAGATCATATATAAGTAATGGAAAGTTTTTGACAGTGAAAGCCTAAAATCGGTGATGACAGGTCTTTAAATTCATGAAGTTTAAGAAATAAAGGTTCCTAGTAGAGTAAAACACCAGCTAAATTGCAGCTGACTTGTATTGTATTTGTTTTGTTTTAGTCTCACTTGAGGAATCACCTTGATCAACAAATAAGTGCCCTCAAACTAGATGAAGACAAATCATCAACAGAAAATCTAGAAAGTGATAGCAGGCCAAGCTCAGGTAAGAAAACATACCAAATGTGTCAGAACAGTAAAACCAAAGTTAACTTTTGTGTTTTTTCTTAAAATTGTATTGTATGTAAAAATCTGATGAGATTTTTCGTATTGAACGTTCATATGAAAATCTATCAGTGTATGGTCAGCTTAAGTCTGGATATAAAATCCAAAATCAAGAAGAGAAAAACTGGTTTGCCAGTGTCCAAGTAGTGCATGCTTCTCCATCTTCATCTAGCCTTTTTTCATTGTTTGTGCTCCATAAAAGCTATTTCACTAGTTCAGCGTTTTTCAACCACTGTGCCGCGGCACACTAGTGTGCCGTGAGATATTTTCGGGTGTGCCATCAATAAATCGTTAATTTCTTTGATCGATCAAAATTATTTTGATCGATCAAAGTTACTCACCTCTCCGCCGGCTTCCGGGTCTTCCGTCGGAGATCCGGTGACGTCACGGACATCGTCGTCACCGGACTCCTCCCCCCTTCCCCGAGTGGCTCTGTCGGCTAACGAAGGGAAGGGGGGAGGAGTCGGGCTTCTCCCTCGGCCCTGGCCACGCCTCCTCGTACACCCGGCAGCTCGCTTTCAGGCCCCATCAGCGGCGCGCTGATCACTGAACTTTGGAGGCAGGGAGGATGCTGTTAAATGTCCTTACCTATTTAATTTAATGTCCTTTACCTAAAACTGTTCTTAACCCTTGCAGTGGGGCTACCCCAGCACTGCAAGAGTTAAGTGCTCTTTTTTGTCTAGGTGCTAACAAAATGTTATACTCACCTGAACCACGGAGCCGGCCAGCTGTCAGTGCTCCCACCAGCCTGTCATCTCCTCCGCTGCAGCGATGGATTGGCTCTCAGCGTCCTCACGTCCCATATACTATGTATAGAATATAATGACTTGGGGATCTTAGACTGCTGCAGAATAGGTAGAGAGACAGAGGCTCCAGGGACCAGTCAAGAGCAACCTGGCTCTGAGGATCAGGTGAATATAACGTTTTTTTATTATTATTATTTTAGCACCTAGACAAAAACAAGCACTTAACCCTTACAGTGTGGGGATCGCCCCACTGCAAAGGTTAAGAACAGTTTCTGCATTAAACTGTAATGTGTACTGCAATAATGTGCCGCCTTCTCCTTACCAACACTTATACAGAAGCCACTACTTAGGAAGTACTGGAAGGAAAACTTTGACAAAGCCAGTCCCACTGCATCCCAAATGTTTCCCCACTGCTTACCAAATTTCCAGGGTCGAGGCTTAAAACAGCTGACATAATAATAGGGTGGGACTGAGTGGCAGGTGACCCAGTTAACAATTGAAGGGGCTTACTAGAAATCTTGATGATTCTCCATTGAATGAACATCATTTTTATAAATATTTGTATTGATTTATAACGCACTATCATCTCCTGTGGTATATAGATCTCCGTGTAAAGGTGCCTATACAATGGCCGAATTTCAGACGTTTTTTAATGTACTGGCCGAAATTTGGCTAGTGTATGGGACTGTCAGCTCCCCTTCACCCGGCATTCCTTGGTCAGCTGATCAAAGGAGCTGGCTGGACAATCAATGAGCTGCCTCTTCTGATCGGGTATTCTGGCAGGTGCCGGGGGCACCTATCAGAATACAATACAAACAGCGGGGCTTCCTCGATCGACACGCTGTTTGTGTTTAATGGAGGAATCGCGTCAATTTCTTTCGTTCAGCCCGTGGGTTGAACGAAAGAAATTAACAGTTGTATTGCCAGCTTAAGGCTGGGTTCACACCTAGAAACGTGCAAAAACGCTGTCACCTACACAGTTTATGCCTATAAATTAAGTTGCACGTTTTTGTGAGCAGATTCTAGCGTATTGATATTAATGGCCAGACGTTAAACACGCAAAACCCAGGCCTAAAAGATACAACAGTGGTTAGCACACAGAAAAAAAATGCATAAAATATTCCAGTTCCAAGTTTATACAGCAATTTGTACTGTTATAACAAATTATTGGCCAAAGTACATATCATTACCAACTTTGGCCAATATTTTGGGAGATTATCTATCTGCATTCTAATTGGACGTAGTACTAAAGCAGGCAAGTGTGAACTGAGCTGATGAGAGTGGAATCAGTGTGTCTAAACAAAACTGTTGGGCTTGTTTGGTGGCTTGGAATCTCTGGAGTTCCACTATAATCTGCTTTTGACTCTGCATGCTCTTTTTATACACCAATGTAAACTTGGGAAATGGCAATACCTCAAGTACTTCAACTAACTGCAAGTGTGTAGTGCTCAATGCAGCAGACAGTATCATACAGAGAGATGGGAATGGAGGGCAGTGGGAACAGGCAGAGACATAATTAGGATGTATTATCAACAGGGGGACCTGCAAAAGAACAGAGACCGTACGAAGAGGGCTACCAGAGACTGTAGTATGGACAGTTGGTAGGAGAGCTGCCAGCGAGTGTGGATTGGGACAGAGCTGTCAGGGAATATAGTGTGCACAGTTAGAGGAACTGTACCAGAGAAAGTTGTGTGGTTGGATAAGTGGCAAAGTGGCCAGAGAACATTTTGTGGGTGGGGGGCTTCCAGAAAACATGCGGACATTAGAATGAAAAGTTACTTTAGAAATGTGAATATATAGCAAATAGATAAATAGGGTAAATATACATTAAGGGGTGTGAAAAATGTTTAGCAAAGTTCTCCTAGACCTCTTTTGTGGCTGCTGTGGCCATTTTTCTTGGCAACCATCTGGTTTCAATAATAAAGCCTGCTCCCACCTCCTGGTCCCCTGTCTTCTCTGTGAGCACAGAACTGTTTCAGAGGTTTTAGGATAGAGAGTGGCAGATATTGGTGAACCCCTGTTCACCAGTCTTCTCTAGGCTGAATACCCAGAAGTGCTCAGCACTTGCGGGTTCACAGCTGTTAGAAACCTGCAGCATCAGCTGACATCAGCTGACTGGTGTCTTATATTTGTATGGGCAGAGGAGGCATCAGGGGTCTAATAGAACTTAATGGCTCCATGAAAAGAACCTGCCACTACTACATCTGTTCTGCCACATAAAAAATATTTGGTAAATTAACATAATTAACCCCGTTCCATGCACAGGCATATACATAGATGACATTAGTACAGACATGCATATGTAAATGCCTTTGTCTGATGCATATTAGGTATCCCTATGAATGCCAGAAGTAGAAGGATTATCTTAGGGCTGTCATTTAGGTTTCATTCTAAAGTGTAGAGGTTTTTAATGCATTGCCTACTTAAAAGTTTGGGTATCATAGTTTATCCATGTTTCGCAAGTGTACGCAAGTTTTTAGCTGGATATATTTATTACTTCTAAAGACCTATCCTTTTATATTAAATAATTTTATATGTGGAATATATATTTGTGTTTGTGTGCACTAAAAATTAATTTTTACTGAAAATGCAGATTTCATAAACATTTGTCCAAGGTTTTCATTTGTTAGCGGTTTTACATTGCCTTTTGTTTCTGTGACCACCTAGCTACTTATGCCACCTAGTTGAAAACAAAATCTAGAGAGCACTCATTTAGTGTTGTGGACACACCTGAGGGAACAGTGTGTGGTGAGGAAAAAAGAATGTCTCCACCAGGATGCGTTCACTAACGTGTGAACAATGTGTGTCATGGGCAGAGCTGCAACAGTTAATCGATTAAAATCGACGATTGAAAACGTTTTGGCAACGTTTTCGATCGGCGATTCGTCGGCTATCGATTGCTTAGCCTGTTCGGGGCTCCGCACGCGGCCTGAGTCGCACGTCACGCGTCACACGCTGCTCCCGACGTGCCCACCGCACAGGCCGCCGCATAAGCCACGCCCACCGAACAGGCCGAAGCCGCGCACGCTGCTCGTCTCCTAGCCGTGAGCTCTCTCACCCGCCGCGAGCTGCCTCACCCGCCGCATAAGTCATGCCGGCCGCTGGTCTCCTCCTAGCCGTGAGCTCCCTCAGTCGCCGCAAAAGCCATGTCCACCGCTGGTCTCCTCCTCGCCGTGAGCTCCCTCACCCGCCGCTGGCCTGCAGACAATTGAGGGCCCACCTTCTAAAAGTAAGTCAGGAGTGGACTACACTAGAAATGCAACTGTAGTGATCTGGATGTAATGACATCAGCTTATTTTAATAGTGAGCACTTTTCAATTTAGTCAGAATCTCTCAAGGAAACCTCTTATTATTGAAAAGAGCCCTCCCCCCTCCCTTTTCAATAATAAGAGGTTTCCTTGAGAGATTCTGACTAAATTGAAAAGTGCTCACTATTAAAATAAGCTGATCCTTGCCTGCCCTTAATACAAACTAGTGCAACTTGAATGATGTTCCATTTTGCTCATGTGGTTAGCACTTTCCTCCCTGTTCACATAGGAAAGGACTAGCACCTGTTCACTAGAGCTGCAGCAATTATTCAATTAAAATCGACGATCGACGCCGGTAAGCCCGCTCACGCGACGCCGCTTAGCCACGCCCACGCTGAGGACATGCGTCTGGCCCTCTCCTCCCGGCAAGCTTCCCGACTCGCCGCTGCCCGCCGACAACCAACAACGCCGCTGCTCGCCGACAACTGGTATTCTGCATTGCGCCGCTGTAAAATGTACTATACTGCACACCACACTTTTTTTTACTGCCACCGTGCCAAGCTTGCTCCTGTGATGGACTACAATCTCAATAGAAACTAGTAGTCCATCACTGGAGCCTTTTTTTTTTTTATCCGATTAACCGATTAATCGAACTAAATAATCGGCTAACTAATCGATTATGAAAATAATCGTTAGCTGCAGCTCTAGTCATGGGGACGGCATCCCAGTGCAAAACTCCTAAAAGGGTTGGATCTTAAAACAGGGATGTGTGGTTCTCTGCTACTATTACTGGTAGCAGAATTCCTCAGCAATTAAAACTTAATTTATAGTCTCTTTTTTTTTTATACAAGGGAATAGTATGTATACTCGCATACCTGGAGAGGGCTGGGAATTACCATGTGCTGTGAGTAGCTGGTCAGATTTTACCACTCAAATCTGGGATCTGTGTATGCACTTACAGGAAACAAGTGGTAGAGTCCTAGATGGAAAGTGAAGGCTTCAATCCCCTATTTATATTCTTAACTGTGTCTAAAATAGAGAACAGTGTAGAAGTGTCAAAGTTCTATAATTCATATTTTCAGTAATTTCTATGTGTACTTGCTTTATTTAAGGGCTCATTCACACTAGCTTGCATGCTAAAATGCAAATTTTTAGTGTGGTGCAGTGTAGATTGCTGAGTGAGGTCTGCCACGGGGGAGAGCCTGGGGCGATGAAAGGGCTGATGGGGATAAGCCAGCATATCACACTGTTTTTAGTTTTGTTTTTTTTTAACCTTACTTTGGAGTGTGCACTCTTTTTTTCGGGTCTCCGCACAGCAGCACGGTGTGCTCTGGTGCATTGACCTGTGCTGCCATCCAGTGCACATCTGCATTGTGATGTGAACGGGGCACATCGAAAACAATTGTTTTGCCCTTGTGGTGACTGGCATTGATCAGTTGCTCAAAACCTCTCAACCTCAAAACCAGCACTTCCTCCACATGAAGGCTTTGTAACTCATAGTTGACCTCCATAGGCAGGGCTTGAAAAATTTTAGGGTGTCTCACCAGTCAGTCAAAAATGTCACCAGTCAGCATGACCGGACTATAGCCTTGCAATTTATGTTAACATGTTTTGGGGACAGATAGAGCTTTCTTTTGGTGGTATTTAAAATCACCGCTGGGGGGGTTATTTTTTACCAGATAATGAAAAAAGTACAGTAATTTAAAAAAAAAAAAAAAGTTTCCCTACGTTATTTTATAAAACATCTATTCTTACCCATATTTTTGGTAAAACATAAAAAACGGGGTCACGTCGGGTTAATAAGTCACCAAACATGTCAAGCCTTAAAATTGCGCACGCCCGCAAAATCGCAAAAACCAACCACACCGAAAATTGGCCATAGGCGACGCTTAAAATGCATTAAAGCTCATCAGTTTAGTGTTATCAGTAATTAATGGCCCTAAAATTATTGCTCACACTCCGACAATCGTGGTTATATGTAACGTGTGGCACAATAGGCGCAATTGTTGTTTTCGCACGTAGGCGCACCCGACGCATATGTGTATGTGGGGGGCAGAGGACTTAAAAAACATTTTTTTTCTTTTTTAATTTTTTTAATGCTTTATTTTTTTTACACAACTTTATTGCTATCACATGGGGGGCTGGGAGGCTAAGAAGCTCCCTATGTGCTTCATCAGCTTCTGTAGCTGGAGAGTGACACTGAATGCAGGAAGTAATATACATCACTTTCTGCATTCCGGGACTGGAGAATAGATCAAAGTGAGATTGTGTACTGATCTCCCTTTGATCTCCTGTCACAGAGCCATGCCGGTCTCGGCCGCATCGGGCACAGTGTATCTCGTAACCGGCAACGGCAGTGACAGCTGCTGGTAATACAAGCGATCAGGCATCTCGAGACACTCGATCACTTGAATGTAAAGCTCCCGACCGGCCGTGTAATTACAACGGCCGGCCAGGAAGCTGCTCGTCGGGCTCAGCCGTCCTTTCGTCACGGACGAGTGGATTTGTCAAGCCCTGTCCATAGGGGTATGTTATAAATCCTGCAGCTGGTGTATTTTGGTGGCTATTACTGCTGTGAGCCTTTTGCTATGCCAGCACTTCATTTTATTAAAAAAACAAAACCATTCTTGTAATTATTGTATCAAAGATTTTACTGCAACAACACTAAATGTATATCTATTTTCCAACAGGTTTTTATGAACTGAGTGATATCAGCTCCTGTTCTCTATCCAATTCTTGTTTATCTGTATATAGTGAATGTTTGTCATCAGCAAGCAAAGTAAGGCCTTGCTCCCAAAAATATAAGAGCCATTTCAAAAACTTTGAGTACCGACCAAGATCAGCAGATGAGAAATCTTTGTGCGTTTATACCGGAGACATCCTCAATATAAGAATAAATTCCGTTCTCTCAAATATTCAAGGGAAAGAAAGTCGAAGACCTGTCTCAACTGGTATGAAAAATTAAGAAATATTCACGTTATGTTTAAAGACAATGTTTGTTTATTAATATTCTGCTTTTATGAAGAAAAAACATGTAAAAATAAACACAAACACACTCACTCCCCAGTAAATGGCCTTTGAGGTATTTTTCATGATTTTTGTTTTTTTTTACCAACAGAAAAACTGGTCCAAAATTGTAAAACTATTTTTAAACTCTAGCTATTTATTTTTTGCCATTGCCATGACCCACCAGCAAACAAAACCACAATAAATTCTTCTACTCCTGACATTCAATGAATGAATGTGTGCATTTTTTTTTGTTTGCACCCCAGAAACAATAGCGCACATTTTGCTTTTTTTTATCTACCTAAGACACCCTGATACTGGCAATAAAGCTGGGAATACACGGTTGAAATATTTGAAAAAAGTTAGTTAATGGGGGTCATATTAACGATCTTTTTCCATGACTGAAACATTGAATATGATTTTCATTCAGGAGACTCCATTTATTCCAAAATCGAATTTTAAAATCAAACTAAATTTTGAACATTCATTCAAATCTCAACAAGTCTCTGATGACATGATCAAATGTTCAGATTAGATTTTCTATAGGTTTTATGTATAAATGTTCATACAAAAAGCTATCAGTGTATACACAGCTTAACACTCACAATGACGCTGACACCAATGGGGTTATTCACAAAGGCTCTCTTCGGCCGCCAGAGCCCTTCGGTTCAGTTGAACCGAAAGGCTGCTGTACGGGCTATTCATTATAGTCGAGCTGAAGGCATATACTTCAGCTCGACTGAGCAAAAGTGACACCCGAAGCAGGGCGAACGGGCAGCCGAAGGCCTGGGAACACTGATCTGTCATTAAACAATAACAACTAGGCAGAGCCAACCGTGACGTCACAGCCGGCTCCACTCAGTTGTTGCTCATTGGCCAGCACCTGCTAGAAGACTCTAGCAGGTGCTGGCCAATGGGAAGCAGTTGGGCGGAGCTAGCTGTCACTATTAGCTCTGCCCAATATTATCTAAATTTTTTTAAAAATCTCTTTTTTAAATTTAATATTTACTCTTTAAAAAATATTTATTCAACTTTTTTTCAACTTTTTTCACTGTTTGTTATTCTACTCGGTACCACGCAGCGGCATTCGGCTCGACTATTCTAGAATAGCAGAGCTGAATGCCGCTGACCGATGTACGGCTGATTTCAGCCAACGTACGGCTGAAATCTGCCATACTGAGCCGTAGTGAATAGCCAAATATTGTTCGCTCACTTCACTTCGGCTGGGTTATTCACTCGACTGTCTTCAGCAGCTTTGTGAATAACCCCCTAAATATAAAACCTTTAACCTAGATCAAACCCTGAATTATTATTATGATTCTTTTTTTTTACCATTTTAAATTTACCAAAACTGAAGCAGACAGAATCTGGAGTGGTTGCCCATGGCAACCAATCAGAGCCTATCTTTCATTTTCAAAGCTTAACTGAACAAACTAAACATAGAAGCTAATTACTTACTATGAGTCACTGCTCCAGAATCTGTCTGCTCCAGTTTTGGTAAATTCTCCCCATTGTGCCCCTTTTTCTCACAGAGGAGAAAGATATACAGGAGAGGTGTCTTTTTATTAGTAGTCACATGATTTGAAACCGATCCTCTTAGCTGCCTCCATGCTTGGTCTCCATGCTCTCACTCAACCATGCTCCCGCAGCACAAAAACATGCCACATATATGCAGTGCCACAGTTAAACACCTAAAAATGTAATGATCTATGAGCAACATTTACTACTAATAGGAATAACATTAAAGCAACCCTGTCGCTATGCGCAAGTCAGAGAAGCAAGGCATTCTTGTAAAAGAAGACAGTAAATACTCACCTTCCCCACTGCCCACTCTACTGAACACCTCTCCAATCCTGACACATCCTTTGTCATGAGAGAAACATTGGGGCTGCCACTGATGGCCAGTCAGTTTCCCTGGGGACTTCAGAGTCCTTTTAAAGTTCAACTTCAGGAAATATCTCCCTTTTAAAAAAAAATAATTTTGCAGGTCATTGTTTTCAGCTATTTATAAAGATAATAAAATGTAGGCCTCCAGAGGTGAAAAATGGAGAAAGATTAAGCTCAAAGTGACTGTCATTATGAAAATAATTACTTGCCTATCCTGCAGACTGCACCACCAATTATATATCTCTTGAAGTGCTAAGCTTGCTGAAGAATCTTTAGCATCTGGCACACTCCCAGGTGTGATGCCTGGTCTCCAGCTAAGTGCTGTGTTTCCTCTGGCTAGCCCCATATCATAACTGGGTCCTGAAGTGACATAAGGGCCACCAGAAGAAACCAAGTGCATAGAGGGGGGACAAGGCATCTCCCAGAAGTGTTGATGTTGAAGATTCTTCATTCAGCTTATCTGTTCAACAGATCAAAGATCAGTGACACAGGCAGCATACCAGTTGAATTTTATTTTTTATTTTTTTCTTCGCAGACCAGGCACATTTTTAAAAAATGAGCACATGGTTGCTTTTAGCATTCCATTAACTTAGGCAATATTTTTAGGCCAAATTGTGTTGGCTTTAGGTTAAACTTTCATGTGTATATACAAAAACATAACAGTGACTATGGTTTGTCTTTAAGCATTTAAAAACAAAACTTTAAGTATTGGCCTCCTACTTGATTACTTTAGATTATGAAAGCCATAGCATAAAGTATTGCGTCATAATAATATGCCATAATTCTCTTCTCCAAAAGACCTGTTAACTGGTTATAGGTTCTTTCTGTGCAGTCTGTTGATTTTCTAATTGGAAAAAAAAATGCCACACCACTTTAGCAAGACATGTGTGTTTCATTTTTTCACAGCTTCTGTTATTTGCTGAATTTAAGGGGTTTTAAAGAGAAGTACACAATGTACAGAAATGTGGGTTCCCTGTCAGTCAGTACTGTAACATCTTTTGGCCGATATCACAGCCATCAAATGTTTCGTATGGTTAGCTAACATCTGCTAGATTTGTTTTGTAATTGGTTCTCACAGAATAGTTTGTAGGCATAAGGAACCATTTAAAGTAACAGCCACAAGGCACTATTTTATTATTTAGTGATTCGTAGCATTACTATATCATTTTAACTACCCTCTGCTTTTATATTGTAGGAGACCTTGAAAGATTCATACAACTGTACCATGGATTTCAAAACACAAGTGGCCTTGAAAGCATGTCAACATTTGATATCAAAGATGATATATTCTTTCAAAGTGTGGATCCAAAGTATCAGAATGACCTTGTTTCCAAAAATAGAAATGAAATTTACACATACCCAAGTCCTCTCCATGCTGTTGCTTTACAGAGCCCTTTATTTTCTCTGTCTACTGAATCACAAAAGTATTCTACAGAAAACAACTCCAAAACTATCCCTGGCCTTTTACCAAGGCCTGCTCTGTCTGCAGAAAATAAACCAAAGGGCCATATAAACAAATTGCTGCAAATAAGAAAGAGCCAAGAAATTGGGCTGGTTGGATTTTGTCAGCGAAATGCCAAAAAGACTCACCCAGCTCTTCCACACCAGACACTTATATCAGAGCATTGCCCTACTGGCATAAGTAATACCAGTATCTTCCAAAGACAAAGTCGGGTTTCTTTAATAGAAGATAACACAAAGGAGCAGGGAGACATAACAAAAAGAGAATTGCAGCCAAAGGAAGATGCAGAAAAAAATCTTATTGTTAGTGAGAATCTGAAAATCACCCTCCCAGTTCCTTCAAGAAGAAATCCGTCCCTCTCTACTAGTCATCCAAATACAGTACATCAGCACAAGCTAATAAACCTAAATTGTTCTACAAACAAAGCACCACAAGATTCTGGACAACAAATGTCTTATACATCACACAAAAAGCACAGTCCTCAAAAAAGAATACATGCAGCTAAGAATTTGGAACATTTTGAGTTTGTTCAAGCTAAGTTCATTCCTGGAGAGTCCCATCAAATTAAAATAAGAATGTCTACTTCTAAAAATTTTCTAATAAACAGAAAAAGAAGAAACAGTGAGAAAAGGATAACGCCTAGCCCTGCACACATAGTAGAAGAACCAGTACTAAGAGAACCCATAAGGTTAAAAGATGAATGTATTGAACATTGCAAACCAAAAGTGGGCAGAAAACGATCCATAAAAAAGCCATCTTTTTTTGTTGCTGCAACTCGTAGGTCCTATTCAAAAGACAGTTTATATTCTGATCAGTGTAGAACACATAGAGCTCAAGCTGATACTTCCCCAAAGATATTGTACTCCCCCAATATAATGGAGGCTCACTCCCACTTGAATATAAAACACAAGTGGCAGTCATCGGTAGATATTTCTGTAAACAAACATCTTTGTAATTTTTCCAGAAGTCCTCACACTGTCTACGGCCACAGAAAACCAGTAAAAAAGGCTGGGGTTAAACATTGCAGGCACATGGACATACATGGTCAAAGTGAGTCTGAATATTCAGCAGAGTGTTCTCTCTTTCACTCCACTGTTATAGAGACTAGTGATGAGGTAGCAAGTGAGTACACCACAAATCGATTTGGAGACATTGGATCCAGTGATAGTGACTCAAAGTCTACTACTAGTGGTAGTAGCCTTTCTTTGAATTGTGAGAGCCTAAATTGGGCTGATAATACCCCTAAGACACCAGTTGCTCCCCACTTGAACAGACATTCACAGCTAGAACCCAAGGTTTCTCGTATCAAAGCTTCAAAAGCACTAAAGAAAAAAATCAGGAGGTTTCATCCAACTTCTCTTAAAATTATAACTATGATGTAAAACAGTGCTTGCCACATGTGTTCAAGTATCCCTAACAAAGCTGGTTTCTAGAGATGAGGCTGAGCTTGGTGCAAACCCAGTTTGCCTGAGTTCACCTGAGCCCGTTCAAAACTCTTAACCGTTGCCCTCTCTTCCGGTCTTGGAAATCTTTAGGAATTCTCCTTCGTTATGCAGCCTATTTGTGTTTTAGAATATTAACTTTTTTATTTTATTTATCAAAGTGGAAGAAGCATACAAAAACAATGTATACTTGCATAGCTTATATGGTTAAAAAAGATGTCATCAAGTATAGGCTGCCATAACTCCTGCACTCCTGGCCTGGCAAAACTGCTGGGCAGCTATGGGCAATTCTGATACACTGGAGTAAAAAAAAATCCCTACAGTAAATCGATCACCAGAATAAAGATATTAATCAATGCACTTATGGTAATTAAAATCTTGGATATTATTAGTTGCAAGAAAATTCTTCTTTTTTTTTATTTAGATCCCACAAGCAAAAGTGCACCCATTCACTGAATGCCCTAAATTATGTTATGACTACAATATAGGGGTCTATTCACTAAGCTGCCGTAGGCAGCCGAGTGAATGACCGACCTGAAGTGAAGTGAGCCGAACATTGTTCGGCTATTCATTTCAGGCTGGTACGGCTGATTTCAGCTGTACATCAGCTTGCTTCACATGGCTTCAGGTCGGCCTAACATGCTCAGCATGTTCGGCCGACCCGAAGTGCAGAAGGAGTTCGACTCAGCCGATCCAAGCTCTGGATCGGCTGAGCCGACCCTCCGGCAGGCTACTCACTGCTGTTCGGTCTATTCTTATAGATGCCGAACAGCAGTGAGTGCATAGCCGAATGCCGCTGAGCGGCATTCGGCTCGGCTGTTCTGCTCGGTCCCTATTGTCCGGCGGCTCTGGTGCCGTCAAAAGAAAAAAAACCTCTCCTGGGCGCTCTGGGAGCCTCCCGCTCCCGGCCGCCCAGGAGAGAAACACTGCTGTGTTTTTCTTTATTCTGACACGGAGCGATGTCCATCAGCAGAGGGCGGGTACAATGCTAGTTTACTATTGGCTATTGCAAATTGAAATAGCCAATAGTAATGTAGCAATGTATTTCAATGGGAATTTGTTTTTTCTATTCTGACATCGCTCCGTGTCAGAATAAAAAAAAAAAAAAGACACAGCAGTGTTTCTCTCCTTGGCGGCTGGGAGCAGGAGACTCCCGGGGCGCCAGGGAGAGTTAGCTGTTTGGAGATCAGTGTCCCTGGTTAGCAGGTAACCAGGGACGCTGATCTCTCTGCAAGTGGCCGGAGCCAGCCGTAAGATCACGGCTGGCTACGCCCAGCTGTCAGAAGCAGGCTGTCGGCCGGCCGCTCGGCCAGCTTCAGCTTTCAGCACGGCTCAGCCGAGCCGATGCATATGCGTTCGGCTCGACTGAGCCGCTCGGCCAGGTTCGGGAGCTGTACGGGCTATAGTTAATAGCCCGTACAGCACCCCTTTGGTTCTACTGAACCGAAGGGGTCCTGGGGCCGAAGCTAGCCGAAGGATCGGCCGAAGCTACGGCTAGATCCTTTGGCAACTTCTTGAATAGACCCCATAGAGTTCAGCAGTCCAGGGAATGTAATATAGAGCAGTATATATAGTCCGATTCCATTATTGTTTTTACTGTTGCTTATCTGGTAGAGCATACCGCAGCTTAACCACTGTTAGTAGTTACTACGCTAATATTTTTTTATTTTACATGTGATATCACTGCTTTTTAAATATATGCAAATGTTCACCTCAGAAACCTTTTTACATTCATTCCACTTGTTTTTTTTTGCATTTATTTTTATCATGATATATTGTTTTAAGTGTTTAAATATATCCATTAAATATTTCATTTAAATGTATGCACTATATTACTACAGCTGTATTTATATTACTAGCCAGTTGAAAAGTAATAAATATGAATACCGTGTGAATGGTCCCCATATCCACATCACAGATGGTTCTTACATTTGCTTTTTATGCATTTTAATTGTTTTATAGGTATTTTTTTTCCGTTGCATTACTGTTTAAATATTTCAAACTACATATTAATACAATTAACTTAATCGATTATTATAATATTTTTAAATTGGTTTATTTTTTTATGTTTGGTTTTACTTTGAACTTGAACTGTGCAATAAAAATAAACTATCACGCTCATTGTATTTGTTATCTGGTAAACAAATTGGCAGTATTTTTCTTTCCAAATATGTGACTTTCTCCCACAAAGACTTTGTCTCTTAGGCTGTCCCTTGAATGTTTTTTAAATCGATCATTACAGTCAACAAAGTAGATGACCATTTTATCTACTTGATCTTTAGAAGAGTGTAATAGATGTGGTCAACTTTATCTTAAATGTTTAAAAAATGTACAATCTTAAAAACTGATGTAAACTGAAGTTTTTACACATTTTAAAAACTATTTTATATGGAACCAAAACACACATTTAAAGTAAACAACTGCATTGCCTGTGCTATGAATTTAGCTGCTGTTCTTTCCTGTATCTGATAAACTTTTTCTTCTTTTTTTTTCCACTCCCCCACTGCTCCATTCTACATATAGAACAGAAAAGAGGAAGCAATGTATAAGTAAAAAGTCATGACTTGGAGCTAAATCAGGCCTCTCTCCCCACCCCCACATGATAGCAATTGGTGCTTTTGTGGCCAAACACCAAGCCCCTGTGCTGCCAGGAAGGAAGTAGGAGAGTCTGTCACACAACTCCATATACCCAGAAGAAACGGCTGTTGATCGTGCCAGTTAAGTTAACCTGTTGCTTTGGCCTTACATGAGCAAAGCATAGAGTAATACATTTGGAGTAGGGGGAAGTTTTAACTGAAGTGGTTAAATTGTCCACAGCAGCCAATCAGATTCCTTGATACATTTAGTACATGAAACGTGTGTGGTGACTTCTACATCTGTGCACAACATTACGTTTGCTAAATTTACAATCGAGCTCTCAGACATTTGTATTTGGAAAGAAATACACACACATATATATATTTATATATATAATAAATGAATCGCATATATGAGCCTTGAAACAAATAAGGCATAAAAAAATATCTACATACACAAAAAGCAACAAAAACAAAGAGTCTTGGAAAAAAAAGGAAAGAATGGTGATCGTGCAAGAAAATTCCTCAGATGATTCACAGCCAATCTGCATGTAACTCTCAGGTAAGGATAATCACACAATGCAGGCAGACCTTCACCACCCAGTGAGTTATGCTCTTTTTGCCTTTGTTGCTTTTTTTGTGTGTAGATATTTTGTTATGCCTTATTTGTTTGAAGGCTCATATATGTGATTCATTTATATATGTTTCATTGTATTAGATGTGCATGATTAGTAGCTTGGCACAATATTGTGTTATATATATATGTATATATTATGCAGTTTTTTTTCCCCTTGCACATAAGCAAAGCTTAACATTATTCAATAGTGAACAATCTATATGCCTTTAATAAATCATCCGGTACCCAGCCGGAGCCGTCTAATCAGGAAGCCGGGCGCCGTCTAATGACGCGACGCCCTGCTTTCTGATTGGCCGGGAAGCTGGCTTCATGCTCCCTCGTCATCTCATCACAAGAGAGCATGGAGCCGTCTGGCCGGCCAATCAGAAAGCAGGGCGTCGTGTCATTACACGGCGCCCAGCTTCCTGATTGGCCAGCCAGACGGCTCCGGCTGGGTACCGGACGAAGGCCGGGTTCTCGCTGGAGAGGCCACGGGGGTGACAGGCTGCACATACTAAGGTAAGAGGGGACTTTCTTGTTAATCGGGAAGCCGGGTGGCGACTCTTTACACGCTGTCCGCCTTCCCGGCTAATCAGGAAGCCAGGTGGCGAGTCATTACACGCCACCTGGCTTCTTGAATGGGACTTCCGTTACTCGCTAATTGGTATCGGCGAGTAACGAAAAAAATTTATCGGTACTCGTACTCGGTACCAAAATACCGGTATTGGTGCATCCCTAATAATAATAGACTGTATCCCTGGATATTAGCAACCCAGTCATGTAAACTGTCCAGCATGGTCTGCGACACTTCCATGAAGAGAAAATATTTCTTGAACAAGAGACGTTCCAGCCTCCCCGTTTGTTGCCAGGCTTCTTGCATTGTGAACATACCTTTTAGTTTTGCAGTAGTGTCAATTAGACATGTGCGATTCGGTTCGTTCCGAAAATTCGTTTTGAACTAATTTTCGGAAATTCGGAGATTCGGATGCATCCGAAATTCCCGATTTCCCGAAATTCGTTATTGTACGAATTTCGTTGCAGCAAAACGACATTAGAAAAAAAAATTACAACATTTACCATCTACAACATTTCTATGGTTAAAGTACAGAAGCAATAGGTCGCTGGTTCAAATCCAGGCATGGGAGAGTAATGGATAAATAATTTTTTTTTCTTTGCTTTTGAATTGCCATTCTCCTATTGACCTAAATGACTAAATGTCATTTTTTTTTCTAATGTCATTTTGCTGCAACGAAATTCGTTGGACGAATTCTGTTGCAGCAAAATGAATTTTTTTTTACAGACTGCAGAAAATGAAAAAAAAAAAAGCCTGAGGTTTCCCCC